AAGCTGTTCAGAAGTACAAACCTCAGTACGCCAGAGTGGTTTCGGATGAGGAAGTAGGAAGAAAAGCATCCAAATCTGACCATAGTCGTTGTATACATCTGATAGATGATGTAATTGTACAGAGAGCATTTGGGTGGTCCTTGAATGTCACGACTATTTACTACCTGATTAGGCACACTCTTTTAAAAAAAAACATATACATGTTGTGGGAATCCCGAGAAATCCACTTCCAGTTTGAAGAAATAAAATAAAAATAATTTCAAGAAATAAAAAACGGATCGCTGGCATATGATTTAGTTCTTCTGGAGCGTAAGGCTCACTTTCCCTCCTCTCCTCTCCTCTCACCCGTCCCTTTACCTTCCTCTACCAAAGTTTTCGGATAGAGGACAGAGCACCATATTTTCCGATAAATGAGACGCGCCCGTGTGATGAATGAGTTTGCTGAGAGCGGAAAATAAATTAAAACTTCTTCGCATAGGGTACGATTCGCCAGGCCATACAATTATTGAGAAGCGTCTAGGAAAGGTGGAGAAGCGGACGACGGTGGCGACACGATCATTCTCCTTAACAGACGTTGCTGCCTGGGAATTTGGTGAGACCGTAACTGCAATGCGAAATCAAAAGGGACACTGTGATATTATGAAGAGTGCGCCATGCAGGCGGCTTGAAAAAAATGTAAGTAGAAAGTGGACAGGTCGGACTGACTTTACTATATCAGGTGCCGTACGACGCTATGTCCTTTCTTTAGAAGCCCGTCCAAGTTGGCAGCATTCACACTAAGCGCTGGCTGATGGGTGACGGCCCTATGATAGCTATCAATCCTTCCATATATATGGCCAGTACTGAATTATCGTTCCCAAAGGGATGGAAAGCTTGGTTGGACGGTTGGACAAGGCAGGTATCCCTATGGGTTCAATCCCCAAACCATGCGTATGGTACTACTTGGCACTTGGCCTACCCAGCCCTATTGAGCCGTCAATATGAACAAAAAATTAGCATAAAAGATTATGCATGAAGAAGTTCAAGAAAAGCCGTTCCAAATGAGTCCGTCAGTGAAAACAAAGGCGGTAAACACTGCTTTCATACTCACTCGTCATACTTGAGCGTAAGATTTGCCGTAGGGACATCGCGATTCATTTCCATAATCGACGAGGCGGAGCTGTCCAAGCTATCGGTTGAGATGCCCCGTCGTAACTGTGTAGGACATTGAAGCTGGTCGTCTGAAACCATATACAATCACGTATAACCTTTATATGGGTGTTTTCAGATCAGAGAAAATTGGCATTAGGTCATATCTTCTGCCTAGCTTTTCTGATACCAAAAAGCGTCACAGGAAAAACTTTACTAATGCATTAAGCTGCCATAAACAGAAACCGATGAGTCAGTACCTTCAAGGGTCTTACCGTTCATGTCAACCTTATTCCTATACCATGGCAATATCGTAAGAAATCAAAGGAAGCCATCGGCATCAAGAAGAAATCGAATTATAAGTCATTCGGCTAGTCTGATCAAACTTGTAAGTTGAACTAGCTGGGCTCGACCATGTACCGTATTCACCTTACTTGCCGCGTTCTCACTTTCAGCTCTTCCAATCACTAGAGTACTTTCGAAGCGAGAGTAGAATTGATGGTTTCAACCAACTGCCTAGGAACTGAGTGACTCGAGCTGAAGGACTATCAACTCTACAAGCAGGGACAAAGTCGTGGCGGAAGAAGTAACATATATATGACAACGAATGGCGTTTCTCGTAGTGTTTGTAAGTAGACTGAGTTTTATTAAACACCTTACTTGATATTTTTCTACTTCGAACACTTTTTTGTCCGACTTAGGGGGTACTATTTCAATTTTCTGGTAGGGAAACTCTTTGGAATCGCCCTAGTTTAGTAGAAACGGACCTTTTCCTTGATTTTGTCCATTTTTGCATTGCTTCATATATCATATACCGGAATAACTGGGAAAAAACAAGGATTTCTGAAACCAAACCTCATTCTCCATCAACCCCCCCTCCCCCCGTATCAGTTCGACGAGCTTACTTTGAGTTGTTGAAATCACTGAACGACAAAAAACCGAGTCTCACTCTATTAGCTCGAAATAACTGCCCGTTGAGGGCATGAATATGTGAGTTATAGTCCGAAGACGTGACGGCGTGTTCTTCCATGCACTCCCCACTAAATATTTACTCAGAGATCAAGTGATACGAAATATGGTCCTCCTGACATTGATCACTTCCGTTATAGAGTAGGTCCACACATTTTCCCCTCCATCCAGAATCGTGGATTTGCTTGAATGCTTCCCCAAAGAGAGCTTCACTTAAAGGCCCGACCGCTAACGGTGGAGCTTTGACTTCATGGTCGAAGAAAGGTGGAGGATTCGGAAAAGACAGCTCAGCGGTATAGAGGAGATAGTCGATCAGTACCCGATTCAAGCCCGTCAGTTTGGCTTTGATCAGACGTGCAGCGTGAGTAGCGATTTTTAGAGATAGGGATTGTTAGCAGTACTTCGTCGTACTGAGTGGTTAGAGGAAATTGTTCATGTGATTGCAAGGTAACCCTGCATTTTTCAGTACCGTAAGGGTGAAAATCTCTCCCGGACCCCCGTATAACAATGGCCTCTTGTTGGTTTCTTGATGATACTCCAAAAAAGACGCGACAATTATAAAATAAAATAGTTTAAGTTCCAAAGAGGCACAGTGGATTATTACATTTTTCATCTCTCATCAATCTTTGGTATACTCAAGAGAGCTCAGGGACAACGTTCTCACACTCAGTCTTCTTGGAAACAATCATTTCGGAAAAGATTCAATTTAGGTTTTTCTGGAGAATTCGTCAGTTGGTCAACGGAAACCGCTTGATATTCCAATGGCGAGCATCATTTGATAAGTTTTTGACGTACTTCTTTCGCTTCTCCACCAGTGATAGATCATTTACCTCACACCCTCTTCAATTTCTCACCTTCTTCCTTATCAGATGACCCATTACCTTCAATGGTAGTTTTTATGCTCCACCAAATATTAGCTGTGAGAAGAAGGAACGAGAATAAAGTTCTATGAGAGTGAAGCCCTCCTTTCCGCAATGGAGATTAAGGGGAAATTGAAGAAAATCTTTGTCAAAGTAGAAACCGTGAGAAAACTGAGTATTGGACGAGTTTTCCTGATTTCAGATTACTTCAGGTTCAGAGAAGTCATTACCCCTTCTACCCCTCACTCCTTCTGTGCTCGACTTTCACTACGGAAAATGAGACCCCTTCCTATCTTTCCAGGTTCTTTTCCAATCATCCCCTGCCTCTCCATTTACGAAACATTCCCGAGAGCCAATTGCGATAGGGTGGAGCCTTCAGAAAGGGAATGATGTCTATGACTTTTCCTTCGGAGCCTCCTTTGAACTTTTAATGGCAAAATTTCCATAAATCCGAGCTGGAATTTCATTAAATTTCCAAGGAAAATAGGCATTTCTGTGCAAATCGTTCTTAACGATTTATTACAGGCTCAATTTAGGAAATCCGTTGGGAGGTTGACGTAATGTCCTACTGAGAATCTTCTCTTTAATGGCGATCTGAAGGTGACTTGCACGAAAAATGAATATGGGATTGACGACACTATGGACAAAAGAAACCGAAGCAATTCGTTGAAAGCCCCGACTGTCAATTACTTGATTCAGCACTTGAATACCAGATTCCGGAGATATATGAGAATTGGAGAGGACAGAAATAGAAACAGTGAGATTGCAGCAATGGATGAGATGGATCAGAGGCGACCAATGACTGGACCAACGATACACAGTACCCAATCCACTTGGGGGCGGAGCGAAACATGGGAGGCGTGCCGCAACACGATCCCGCACCTGAGCTTGGGGAACAGTATACTACGGATTACCCACCCCGAAATTCTGAAAAGAACTAGCGAATTTGTCAAAACATCAAAGTCTACTGAATGATGGAATACTATGCGTCAGAACCGCTTTCAGTATCGAATGGAGGCAAAGTTGCGGCACTATGTACTGAAGCCTTTTTGATCGGAGACGATTCTCCCACGGAGTTAATTAGACAATGAAGGACGTATGAATGGAAGTCTGCAGTCGGTTTGGACCTATCGTATTTCAATCGTATTTCAAAGCGAAAGAGCTGAAGATGAACGCCGAGCAAAGAAATCTCCCTAGCGTGGACTGAAAAGGGCAGAAGGCATTCTGCAACCTCACGAAAGATGTTTCGTTTGCAAATGTGCCCTTCCCAATGACGTTCCATGTCGATGTCGTTCACAACGCAAAGTAGATGGGAATGTAAAAAGAAGTAGCGCTAATGGCTTATTTGCTTTCCTAAAATAGCCCTCAGACACCTCCGTCTGCGTTAGAGGAAAGGGGGAGTGAGGTGAGGGGGAGGGAAAAGGAGTCGTATTCTGTCGAGTGATTTATTAATAATGTCATCCTTACAATTCCTAGAGTAATTCTTTACCCATTCTAGCTCACTACCCACTCAGCCAACATGGCAATTTACCCATGTGGGCGAGCTAACCTTTCCTGTGCTTACAGCGATCGTCATCGCTAGGATTTTCAAGGTGAAACGCCACAAATAGACAGACGACGACTCCGCCCAGAGGTGGCGCTCTGCCATGGATAACTCACTTAGGTATACTCCGGCTCAAAACGCCTTTCAGTAGACAAAGGCAATCACGGCCGACTTTGAGGACTTTAAACTTTGTTGTAATTACAATATAAACTAATCAATATAGGTTTGTTAGCTAAATTAACTACCTTGACTGTTTTTTACAATCAAAGTAGCATCAAGGTAGAGAATATAAGACCTAAAGGGTGGCCTAGGCTTGTAGGCTACGTCATTGGCCGCGTCTTAGACCTATGGGAACAGGAACGACTACCACTACCTTATTATTCAGTAATTACACAAGAAAATGAAAAAGTAATGCTCATTATGCTATTCTCTGGCAAAAAATTATCATGATGAGTTGCAAAATAAGCTTTAGAGATGATGTTCCGGAAAACTCGTCCTCGTCAAGACTCTCTTAACCGGGAAACTCGTCCCATCAAGGTGCTCTTCACCGGAGAAGTTGTCCTTACCACAATTATTTAAACAGAACAATGAGCAGATCTTGTCAGACAGGCCCAAGAAACTCGTTATGATAGACACTTCAAATGAAGGGAAAACTCGTTTCTATCATAGTTTTTCATCATGCACATGCTATTCCTTGGCTAAAAAGTACTATGATGAGTTGCAAAATAAAATCGAGAAATGATGTTTCGGAAAACTCGCCCTCACCAAACCCATCAAGATACTCTTCACCGCCACAAATTGCCCTTGCCACAATTATTCAAATAAAACATTGAGCAGATCTTGTTAGATAGCCCAAGAAACTCGTTACCATAGACTTCTTAAACGGAAAGCTCGTCCCTATCATAGTTTTTCAAGCAAAACGTCGATATTGTTTTCTCCATTTCTTGTTTCTTCCTCCTGATTCCATGCATATGGAAAAGGCANCTTGTCAGACAGGCCCAAGAAACTCGTTACGATAGACCCTTTGATGATGTTTCGGAAAACTCGTCCTCACCAAAACTCTCTCAACCGGGAAAACCGTCCCCATCAAGATACCCTCATCGGAGATTTGCCCTTACCACAATTATTCAAATAAAACTTTGAGCAGATTATTGATGAATAGCCCAAGAAACCCGTTACAATTGGTCTTTTCAAACGGAAAACTCGTCCCCGTCATAGTTTTTCAAGCAAAACGTCGATATTGTTTTCTCCATTTCTTGTTTCTTCCTCCTGATTCCATGCATATGGAAAAGGCATCAGTGAACGCAGTGTTTGATCAAACCAAAAGACGCCTTAGAATTGCAAAAGATGATTTGTCGAGTTTTTTTGTGACGGAAACATAATTATTCATCGAATTGACGTCAAATATCGTCAGCTATCATTGAAACCTTCAATTTGCCTTCCAACAATCAGCAGTCAATCAGCTGTCGTCAAATTCTATCCTTCAAAAATGCTCTACGAAGAAATGCCATCCAAATTACTGTGTAGTAGTGAACTGGAATAGGTCGACGACATGACATGAGGGACATCCCTAATGAGACTGCCCGAGACTAATTCGAATGCCAAGAGTGTTTTCACAAAAACATCAACAACATCAGCAAAACATCAGAAAATTCAATTTTGACATATATGTCGATGGAATCAAACCTCTTGGGTAAAATATGCAAAATAGTAACAAAATTAACAGGCAAACCCACCAGAAATCCGTCGCTCAGGTGTTACTGGGGTAAGATGTACTTCAGGCGAAGCTGGTTCGACTACCAACTGACACTCAATATCTTCACTTGGGACGAGATATTGCCTCGTCTCTTTTTCATCCTGAACTACTTCCCTATTACTACCCTTTATGGATAGGTAAATCAATCGGCACGATTCTTGCCTAGCAAATGAGGTAAGGGGCCCAATAAGGAAATTAATGAGTTCACATGAGGGTAATGAGAATATTGGATGAAAATGAGGGTAATGTAAATAGAAAAGGACATTTCAAGGAAAAAAGCAAATAAGGAAGCTTACTTGAATCCCATAGTTCATTTTGATGAATCCGTCCAATGGACTACTGTAGCAGAGATTCGCAGATTTGTCGTATGGCGTTTGATAATGTACAGGAATACGGGAGAGGGTATTGGAATGTTCCAATATGCCACTATTCTCATCCAATTTCTCCCATCCTTGGTCAGCTGTGAAGAATGTCAGAAAAGGCGTCTTCGAGAATAATAGAACAATCAATAAAATCAATAAGAAGACGAGACCCGCAATTGCCCATTGGGTGGCCGTGTCCATTACCGCTGCTGAAAGGCGGCATTTTTACAATGATTAATATGCTATACATAGACTAGACAAATTTATACGTAACGAGAAAACATTGATGTGACGTTGGCATACTGTAGGAAGGTTTCCTGGGTGAGTGGTCAGAAACGGGAAGGAAAAAAGCCTGAATTCTCGATCTGCTTCTTCCAGGAAGCAACTACATTGTGCTAATGAAAATGGCATTGAGGTGGCAACAGCTCCCGTCTGTTCCCCGTCGTCCCCTAAGGAATTAATCTTGAAATTCCCCATGACCATCTATCTTTTTCGCCTTTCGGATAGATTTCAATGCATAGTCTTTCCTTTTTGCCGTGAAAACACTATTGGACTTGGTCTTCGTCTGTCCCTCTCCCAGTTCATCGCACGGAGAGGGTTTGAAAACAATTAGGCAACGCTTCAAATAGCATTACGTCGTCCCTGTTGCTCATCGGGACAAATTAATTGTTGATATTAAAGGCTAAAAAACCTGCTGTACAATGCAAGAGTTTTGTGGACCAAAGCCTATGCCTACCGAACCTATCAGTTGCCATTTATGGGCATTTTCAGCGGCCCAACGGCCTCCTTAACACCATAGCAAAAAAGGAGACCTCACTCCTGTTTTTTTGAAAAAAAATAAACAAAACACATTTTGCAGTGCGAAAAGAGGTAATAAGGGATAAGGGTAAAGTCTCAAGGCGTACATCAACCCCATCTGAGGGAAGCGCCCCGCATTCGACTCCATTCAGAATCGTAGTGACGTAATGAATGCGTATATGGTCTATACAATGATTTGCGGCGGCCAGCCGATGTAAAAGCCAGTGCTTTCATCCTCCAGACAAGTCTGGTACCAATTGACCGACACCGGAGCGGTGGAAGGCTCGGTTGGCCCAAGCGGATATCGATCCGGGATTCAAACTCGTGACCATGCGTGCGTAATAGTGCGCTTCTTGCCACTACATCACCTTCGTCCCGAAAGAGTTCACCTTACAGCAATCATACACACTGAAATAGACGAGACACGACCAAAAAAACTTATCACATATACGACAAGTAAAAAAGTTTTGGGAAGGACATGGGATAGGTGGCTGGAGCAGTCATCTGGCATGTCGGCAGAATTACTGTATCACTAATTCCTTTGGACTTGAAAATCTGCCATGTAAGACTTTAACTAAAAGCCCATAATCCAATCAACTATCCTCCAGGGATTCTTTGTAATTCGTGGATTAAGGAGCTGATTTATGGATATTTTCAACAGAAATAGAGATACCTTGAAATCCTATATTTAGGCAAATGGAGGTACCCCTAAACCTTCATTATGTGACCACATTTTTAGAAAGAAAACCATCAAAAACATGCATGTAAACAAGGGAATGATGTCTAGAGCCCCCGGGGATACTAATTTGATTAGATTGAAGCTAACGAGGGCCTTCAATGAGCCTGGGTTACCAGCCAGTCATAGTCGAAACACTAAGAATGGTGACGGCACCCGGTCAACGTTGGCGCAAGCCATTTTGGCTAAATAGCGACGACGCCGTTAATGAAGTCTCGATGTTGTACTTTCCTGTGGATAGAACTAGTCAGAGGCGAAGAAACGTTCCAAGCAATACGACTTTCACTAAGAAAAAGACGGAAAAATGTTAGAAGCACATCAATTCAAAACGGACCTAATGGCATATGCCCTATACGTCCAGGTCCTAAATTGCAACAACAGACCAATTCAACAGAAATGAGGAGGTGTTTTTCCGAAGGGCAATAGCAGCTTAATGAGAAAACAGATGGAAGACGGAAAAATGAGTTGATGATGGACGTTAGGAGAGCAGAACTGGGTAAGATATTCATGAAAACAGAAAACAAGCAATACTTTGAACAAACACACACCACTAGCTAGCCCAATATGCCATTCTCATTCTCATAACTTAGACAGTAAACACATGGTTTTGAAGAGCAATATGCGGTACATAGACGCCCACGTACACAAACTGAGTGGTGGCTCCCTCTCTCTCAATCTTCTTTTAGGACACGTGGGACCCGAGGCTCGCCTTTTTTCGATATTGGGACCTAAAAATCGGAAAACGGACGAGGAGCAGAAAGGGCTATTTGAAAATTGTTTTTATGAAAGCACTAGAACAATCAAGGATCTAGGGATGGGAGTGAAAACTGAACACAAAGGAGATTTAGCGAGAGCGATTACAGATCCATATCTACACATACACAAGCAAGAAAGGTCCACCGTTGTCTCTGGAGACAGCAGCGAAGCCAGCGATCCATACTTCTTGTACGAAGGGCTATCATTCAGACCCCAGACTGAGTGAATGTCTAGGAATTATAGCTTTTGTAATAACCACTTATGATTACTCGTTAGGATATCGCGTGCGTGGCTTAAAAAAGTCGTCGGGTTCCAACGATAACATATTGTTCTGGTTGGATGGAATGCTAAAATCATTTTCACTCACTGACGGGACACTAACTGACCTTGGCTTTTAATGTAAAAATCTAAGATCTCCAAGATTGCACTTTTGACAAATCATCGACCTTCCGCTTAAAATCCGATTAGTTAAATCGATATTGATTGGCAGCTCCATGATAAGATATACTGGAAGACTGTACAATGTCGTTTATTAAGCTTATTGATTGACAGATTTATTGATCTTTGCACACTTCGATTATCGTTCTTCGATCGGATTTATCGATTTTTTTTCTAGGCTCGATAGCTTAGCCAAGGTCCTAGAGCATCTCCAATCCAAATATTTCGAGCGCCTGCCACTGCCACTGGTGCAATTGGAAATGTGAATTTTCCGACCGACACACACACAGCCACATACACATCCAGAGGATAGGTAGACAGGTACACACACACAAGTAGACAATCAGAGAGACAGACAAACAAACAAACAGACAGACAGACAGAGAGACAGACAGACAGAAGCCAGACAGACAGAGAGACAGACAGACAGACAGACAGACAGACAGACAGACAGACAGACAGACAGACAGACAGACAGACAGACANTATAGCTTTTGTAATAACCACTTATGATTACTCGTTAGTATATCGCGTGCGTGGCTTAAAAAAGTCGTCGGGTTCCAACGATAACACATTGTTCTGTTTGGATGGAATGCTAAAATCATTTTCACTCGCTGAGGG